ACCTATACTATATTAGCATTTTCTTATCAGCAATCCTTCCAACCATATTGTTGAGTTCATATATTACTGTGTTCTTAAAATTAAACAACTCTAGGCATAATATTTTAAGAACAGAAAATGAGTTTAAACTAGAAAATAAAAACTAAAACAAGTTTTCAGAATTAATTACATTTTTCTTCTGAAAATAAGTCTCCTGAAAACTTAAATGGTACTTCAGTAGTTTCTGATAACCCTTAAATATGCTGTTACATAATTAAAATAGCAATAAACAATAAAACCATTACACCAACTAAAAATTGTTCAATCAAAAAAATTGAACAACTTTACTGGCCATAGAACTAGAGGCAAACAGATGATTAAAACATGTGCCCAAAAAAAAAAAATCGGCAAGTTTTACAAAGGACAAAATAGGTATTTGTCGCCAAAAAGTCAATTTTTTTGTTAGTGATACTTCTGCCTTAATTGTCGTAGATATTTTTTTCATCTAAGAGATTTAGACATATTCCTGCATCAGAATCACTTCATTTGAACTTGAGAAAATACCAAGATGCTTGTTCTCCTTCTTCTAATCTATGAATAAAAATGAAGTCAGAACAATGAGACCTCCTAATGCCGTGATGAATTTAATGAGAATAGATTTGGTTGGACTTTTCATGCTGTTGGTTCTGATAATTACTTTAATCAAAGTTAACTTCCTTAACACATAATATTTACAAGGGTTTAAAACGTTACAGCAAAGGGCAGCTAGAGCTTCCTCTATGCAAAACAACAACACGAGATACAGAGCAATGGAAAAACAAGGATACTGCTGAAGGTGACATTACTTGAAGTGGTGATACATGAAGTGGATTGCTGAAGTGATCCAAGTACATATTTCATAGCATAATCTAAACTGTCTACCAAAATAGACATTCATTCTTATAAGCTAAAAGCAAAAAATAGAATTTGGAAGTTTAGCTTCACATTAAAAAAAAAAAACCTTATTTGCTTACACTGAGCTAAAAAGAGAAGAAGAAACTGTTCTTGTCAAAATATTACTTCTGAAAGTGAGTGATGCTCTCCAAACATTATATTTTATGACTGATTATCTGAAACTTTTAATGGCAGCTTCCAATAACTTAGCAGTTAACCTTGTTACTGGGCATAATCCATAAGTTAGGTTTGGAAATTACGAATTACCTGGTAAGGCATTTTGAATTTCATCTGTATGAGCAAAATGGATTGTAGGGCAATCATAGGAGCTTGGGTATGATCCACAGCCAACTGAAAGATGAGATGATTTTCAAAGGCAACACAACAAAAATCCTAATTCTAAAAGGAGCTTAAATAATGAAAGTTAAATAGTAGCAAAATGAGTATTAATGAAGTCTTAATATCTCCTTCTGAAAATGAACTGAATTCACTTCCAGGAAAAAAGAAATTATAGTATAGACATAAAGCCAACCTAAAAATCCCACAGCAAAGGCAGGCAGACATCTGGTGCCTGGAAACCTTGTGATTCCCCATCCCTCAAATTATTAGTAGAATAACTGGACAGATTTCACAGCCACGAATCCATGGTTAGAGACTGGGCCCTGCCAAAGTCATTTGCAGGTTCAAACATTCTTCTGCCAGCTCATCTAGGTAACAGCTTGTAGCAACAGCTTAAAACTTTACAGGGCTCCTGCCAGCATTTTGTACTCTGCATTTCCAAAAAGGCAGGTTTAGCCAAGCAACAACAGTCACTCATCAGTTTCGCATCAATTAAGTTAAAGAGTCAGATTAGTTTTTCTGGATCTTTCTTGTTCAAATGTCTTCTCTTCCACTCAGATAAATCTTCAAGGTACTGGTTTACAGCAGGGACCAAAAAAAGAAAATTTGGGCTGGTGATGTCAATAACAGAGGACAAAAATGGGAATCATTTCTGGTTTTCCCTTCTTTACAAAATGGCAGCTTCCAGTCCAGCCTGCTCTGCATCATCTGCAGAATCTTCCTGCAGAATCTCCCTTCACCTATGACTCCTGCTCTAAAGCACTTACAGCTAATTATTATTTCCTGTGTATGAATAATATACTAAAACAAACACCCTTTTCCTCCTGTTGCCTATTACATTATTGTTTCCTAAAACTACCAAGTTCATTAATTTTTTCCTTTCTGTAAAATTTAACAAATCAAAAGAAAATAGAATTAGCTTTAAGATCAATACTGCATTACTTATCCTGTGAAGATACAAAACAATTTTGTTTAAGTACCATGCTCTTCCTCACTATCTTATAATATTGGAACAGTAACGTTGGTAAAACCACTCCCAGCACTAGAAGAAACTTCCTACCTCATATAATTTGTTAACCCTTTAAGAAAGCTTGAGACTTTTTCCCTTTTTTTCCTTTCAGCACAGATCCCCATCAGCCAAGAAGGAAGAAGACTGTCAGCTTGCCTAACAGCTGAGTCTCAGCATTTTCCAGCTTTCCACAGCAAAACCATCCAATGGTAGACATGCAGAATGGAGGA